TTACTTCCTCTTGATTCTTCTTTACTTTCTCTTAATTCTTACAATGTTGTTAAATTTGTCTTCCATCCTTTTTAGCATCCTTATACCCATTGCTCTAAATTCTTTCTCTGTCAAATTTCTTGCCTCCATTTCATTTATTTCCTTTTCTGGCGATTCCTCCTTTTCTTTCATATGGGGTTTGTTTCTGTTTCCTTATTTTTGCTATTCTTTGTGGTTGTTTCTATGCATTAGATCAAACTTCTTTGCCAATGAGATTTTTTGAGTTTGTCTTATATAGTAGATATTTTGCATTTTACCACAATTTAAAAAATATCTTAGTATGTACTTGATTTAGTGGCAAAACATCCCATACTCTGTTTTGACTTTCTGTTTAAACTTCAGTGAATTGATGATTCTTTATTGCATAGATTTAACCCTATGTGTGATTTCTCTCTTCTTTTATATTCTCAAAAGAGGCCCTCTGCATGAATTCATGCACAGGTGGGGCCCATTGGCCTGGCTGGCAATCAGGGCTGATTGGGGCTGGCCAGTAGGGGTGGAGGGGCGGCGGGAGGTTGGCTGGCTGTGGGAGGTTGGCTGTGGGAGTGCACTGACCACCTGGGGGCAGCTGCTGTGTTGAGCCTTTTCTCCCGCATTGAGAGTCTGGCGGTAATTGCACATCATAGCTACTGCTGGACTTGTTCTGGTTGTTCTGGTCATTCGGTCATAATGGTCACTTAAGCATATATATATATTCCTCAATTTCCAAGGGAGGGTGAAGCAAATGTCTTATTAGCACAATTCTGCTATGATTATCATTTATTATTTATTTCAAATAATTATTCCCTAAAAATGAAAAACTTATTAGGAAATTATAACTATTAACAAATATAGGTAGGTGTAATTATTATTACTCAATCTCTTCACACACCCTACATACCCACATAAAATGATAGCACCAACTTGCCTGCTATTTCAACTGTGCACCCCAGGTGAGTGTGGGAGCCATGGCTGGTGAGTCTTTTCTAATCTGAGAGTTCATGGGGAAGAAATAGTTTGGGAAAAGGCTGACTTCCTCATTAGGCTTGCTGAACGTGTATGTGAGCAACGTAAACCTAAAAGGTTTATGTGGCAAGGGGATAGAAGGAGGAAGGGAAGGAGGTCAGACTGCCTTTCACAGTATTTTTGACATAAGCAGTAAAGGTTGGGAAGAATCTGGAATTCTGTTGGTATTTTGCTAGTCTTATCTGAATATGAAACTGTGAGTCACCTGGGCATGATATGCATATCAGCAGACCTCTTTGGAATTTAAGAAATGGGAGTGTGTCAGAGGAGAATGACCTCTGATTTTCAGGAAGTTAACAGAAATTCATGAAATAGACTCTCTCATGTTACTCAGTGACCATATGCAGGTAATGCTAGAATCAGAAAGAATCATATTGAGTAGATGCTGCAAGATTCAAAGATCATTCCTCAACACTGATGAGCCCTATGGAGAGAAATGTTTGGTTGAATAAGACTGAAATAATTGCTTCCTTGTTGGTGAGTGGAGAGGAAAATTGGGCTGTGTTCATTACTTATGGAATCTTTGTTTCAAATAGACTGAGTCTTGATTCAGAAGAGGAGGCTGTTTATTCATTCAGTGGGCCATGGTACAAAGTGATTAGCCGGGGGAGATGAACAAAGTGAGAGATGAAAAGGACATTGTCATGGATAAGGCCCCAGTGTTGATTGACCTTATTATTGGGAAAGAATGCTGGGCCTGCCATAAAAGTATTACCCATCTCAGGGAAGACCATCAACCTGCATTAAAGATCGGGCTGCACTAAGGTAAGGGTCAATGATTCAACCTAAAGTCCTACTAGTCCCTGTATCTTGAGTCAGGTATCTGCTATTTTCATTTGTCTTGTCAATTTAGAATAGGTTTCCTATCACCTTAGCCTCAGACCCTATTTCTATGTGACCCTACTGCATGATCTCTTATCTCTAGAGAAACAATAAGCTCTTTTTCTACCTATAACTTGCTCTTACCTCATCTTTCTATTAACGTGCTTTTCACAATATAAAGTGATGGTGGAGTTGTCAGGGAGCAAATTGAGTATCAATTAAGTGTGCATTAAATAATTACATTTGCATTAAATTACATTAGTCAACTTCTTTGCTTGTTATTTTGTGCTATATTGTCTACTTGCATATGCTAGTCTGTGGGTGGTCCCCTGAGGACTACCCTCTATATTACCAGTCTTCCTAAGACCCCAGTTCCAGGTACTGATATTTGAGCTGGTCCATTCTTATAATCCTTTGCTCCCTCCTCAGAGTGAAGATGACTTCTCTGGTGAACTACCAGTACTAGAACACCAGCACTTCCCCAAGCCACTTCAAAGGGAGAAGCTGTTAGTTATGGTGGAAGAAAACAAAGTCTGTTTCTATCACAGATGATTAATGTCTCCAGTGGTCATCTATTTTTGATAAATCTCTCATTTCAAATTGCTTGTTTCTTATTCCTCCCTTCCCCATCCCAACCAATGATAATCCATCATTAACAATGAAGGCCATGGACTATTGTAATCTAATTGAGAATGCCCCTCGTCCTCTATTTGTTTGTTGATCCATTCCCTTACAATGCCATAGACACACCTACACCTCACTTTGAGTTCTGCCTGGAATGGGGAACAAATGAAACACTGAGTCAGAATCTTCAATAGCATTGACTCTATAATGCACTCATCTTCTTGCTAGTTTTTTCAGCGCCAGATCTATGACAACTATCCAATGTAATAAACAAAACTTCTTGCTGGAACAACACTAGGGGAAAACTCAGGGATAGAAATTCCATTGCTAGAAACCAAACTTCCTTAAGAAATGTTCATGAAAGTTCTGATAGTAAACATAGCCTTTCTAGCCCAAATGTGCAGGGTGGAACTATATGTAGCTTGGTACCCAAGGAATGAAAATTTGTGGAGTCACCATAGCATCATGGCATGCCATGGCTCTGCACCATTCATAGCAGGTAAATGGCCATTCATTTTGCCTAAGCTGTATTTTCCTTGTGCATATAGTAATACATAATGAAGTATTACTGATACCACTGTAATGTAACCCCATTATTAAGTAACTGGAAAGGAGCAAAGGGAAGGCCAAATATTATAGACATATCATTTGGGCAGTTTTTCCAAGAAGCTTCAGTTTAACACTCCCCAGAGACTGGATGAGGGGAAAATAGGCACATGCTGGTTAAAGTCTGGGTGACATAGGGAAGCTATTTTTCTGTCAGTTGCGCCTGGGAGCAAGTCATACAGTAGGCACGGCTACTGTAAGCCTGGGAAGATTTGAGATACTTAAACTCCTAAACAAAGGAGCTTGCTCTCTCGCTCTCTTGAGATTTTTGTTGTTGGGGGTGTACTGTTCTGGCTCCCAGTATTCACCCTCATGGCCCACAGACATGTTGACCCTACACAATGGACTGATGGACTGCAACTAGATTAATACTAAACTGAACCAAATTTCACCATAGAAAGAAAAGTTTGGAAACTGGCTTTGCTTCTAGCCCTTATGAATTAAACTAATCTGGGCATGTATTCAGATCCATCTTAGCCTCATCCTTGTTATTCGATGTGTGGTTATATGTATAATTAATCTTAGCTACAATTTTTTATCTGTGAGGTGAGTTAATACTACCAAGCTCACAGTGTAGTAAGGATTACATAAGATGATATATGTAGTAAATTAACAGTGCTTTCCACAAAGAGAGTACCCAGTAAATCAGGTGGGCTAATGGGCTATGGCATGTGATGAGAATGGTTCTTAAACTCATACAAGTTAACATCATACACTGCATTGCTTATTAACATATTATTTATGTATTCAATTTCTTTTTTTTTAATCAAGATAATCTTCATGTCACTCCAGTCTCCCTTCACCCTTGAATGGATGTAATGTTCACTCTTTTAAAAACTGCTTGTGGAAATATGCTGGTTTTTTTTTTTTCTTATAATTTTTCTCTTAAGACACCTCATATTCTACAAGCATTAAAGATATTTGAAAATTATATTAAAGTAATAATTAACATTCCTGAATGTCTGTTGTTCAAAAGGTGATACTGATTTTCAAACATTAACTTTAATTCAACAGCTTCTCCAAGGCAGGTAGTTTACAGGTAGGGAAATTGACACTTGAGTTGGATACCTATCAGGTGAATAATTACACCAGTGTAAAGTGTTGATAGTATTAAATGGTTGAGTCCAAAGTCTGGCCTTTAATCTCCCCAGCAGAGGCCACAAATGTAAACACCCTACAGGTTTGCCAAGAAACATACATAAGTTAATCAGGTTATGTGCCGACAGGAAACATGGGAGAGCATGTAAATGCACGAATGTAGCCTTATGGATTCAGATTCAGATATTTACTGTCGTATGAAAATTCATGCAGGAGATGATTCTGATCCAATATTTTATTTGAAATCTTACAATTTTTAACTTCTGCTAAAGAATGCCAAAAGAAGTTATAGCTGTGAGTCTCAAAGAAAACACATCTTCGTTCATGAGGGAGTGTGTAGGTCACCAATATTTTACTTCTTTTAACCCATATATGTGGTCTTGGCCCTACTACTATTGCATGATAAACACACGAGGCTGAGATTTCTCCCCAGTCACGTTGGTAAGTAGTTCATCTCCCTGCAACTAATCTGCAAAATGAAACCAATAATGCCTGTATTCCTTTCCTAGGGCTGCTGTAACAAAATGTCACAAACTGGGGGCTGAAAGCAGAAATGTATTTTTTTATAGTTCTAGACTCTGAGAGTCTGAAACAAGGTGTGAGCAGGGCCGTGCTCTCTCTGCCAGCTTCTGGTTGTTGCTGGCAATCCATGAATTCCTTGATTTACTCTTTGAATAACTCCAATCTCTGCTTTCATAATCATATTGCTGTCTTCCCTAGGTGTGTCTATGTTTTTATATGTTATTCTTTCTGTCTCTGTTCTTGAGCCTCTCTTCTTTTATAAGTATATTAGTCATAATGGGTGAAGGGTTCACTCTATTCTAATATAGCCTCATCTTAAATAATTACATTTGCAAGGACTTTTTTCCAAATAAGGGCAAATTCTGAGTTACTATGGGTTAGGAATTCAACTTATATACAGATGTGGGCAAAAGTAGGTTTACAGTGGTATGTGAAACAGTTCTCATTATATTAATGAGTATTATTATAAACGGAATGTCTTTTTTTTTTCCATTCAAACAACTATAAACCTACTTTTGCCTGCCCCTGTATTTTGTGGAACACAATTTAACACATAACAATGGCTCACCCCCAGGGCTGTTATTCTTTGGATTTATCTTCTCTGGGGTGCATTGTGTTTCCTCATTCAGTGAGATCATATTTTTCTCAGTTCTGGAAAAATTTCTTCAATATTGTTCTCTCTTTCATTTTCTCAATTATGACTTTCTGCAATTTTAAAGAGATACATATTAGAACTTCTCATTATGTTCTTCATATCTCTAAACCCCTCTTTCAAATTCCCCTGCTCCTCATCTCTGTTTATTGAATTCTAGATAAATTGTTTAAAAATATGTTTCAGATTACTTATGCTATCACAAACTTTATATATCTGTCTTTTAACCTAATCACTATTAATTACAACTGATATACTTCCATCATTAAATTTCTCTGATTATTCCTTACTATAAAGTAATTGCTTATTATTTTCCTTATTTGAACTCCTCATCCACTGCCATTCTATATTCTTATTTGATTATTCTTGGAGACATCAATTTGCAGTTTCTTGTTTCTTCTGTATATTCTCATAGTGGCTTGCTTTTTAGTATGCCTATAAACTTCATTCCTTCTGCTTCTCCTGGCAGGTGACAGTCCAAATTCAAGATCTCATCAATCCCTCCTCAAAAATTTGGCACCAATGCCATTCTAATACCAGCCTTCCACCTCGCAGAGGTCCCATAGGCTGGTATTTTTATAATACTGTTGATATAGAAATCTGATGCACAGAGACTATAGCTCTC